TGAATATTGAAAACTGTATTTTGGGTAACTAAATGAAATGTTTATGTGACTATAATATTAACGTAACAACCAAACTCTCCCGATAAAAATTATGAAGTTTGGAGAACCCTCTCTGTCTGTAGAAATGTCATTGTGAGGATAAATAAACAAGAATAATGCCTTTGTACTTGAGTTTTGTACAAAAGATTTATATTAATATTAAATATTTTTAAAGGTATGCCTAATTAAAACCAGCTCAGATAGCCCGTAAAACAAAAATACTCTGGGCTTACTTGCCCATTAAAACATCAAAATGCTCCTCCAATAGCATTTAAGTATTGCCGACTACATGTTAGTTTGTGAATACCAAACAATAATTAATTACAGTTTAGTTTGATATAAAAACATCGGTAAAGGTTTGTGATTATTCATAAATTGTTACAAACAGTACATTAAAGTTCCTACCATTACTATCTGCCTTAAGGAGAACCCAAAAGCGTGAATATAGTAGTTTTTACAGTCGCACCTTTGCAATGAAATTGACAAAAAAATCAACAGAATGAGTTTTATAACTTAAAACGACTTTAAAAAATTTTTAAAGTTGAACCGACCCATTAAAACTCGCGTGGTATAGACTCAATAAATAAATGTCTCTTTTTTACGTTTGAAATTCCATTTTTGTTTGGTCAAATGACACAAAAATGAAATGACCTTGTAGCAACTACTTTTTGTAAATTATATTTTTTACTATTACAACAATTTGAAACAATTTGTATAATTAATTATAAACTTGAATGTTTCATCATTATTTTTCAGGACTAACCACACCACTGCCTACAGTAATGAATTAAATAATGTGAAAATGTCACAACTTTAGAGCTTATTTTGCGTATTGCCAAATGTTGGGGTTTTTTGTGGGGTCACTTTTATTCTAAACGTGTGATGTATGTAAAGCCCCTAAATCAGTGCCTGTCGTCGCTATAGGCAGCCGTCGGATCTTATAGGCGATAAACTTTGGTAGCGCGATTCCAGCATAGCGACGTCGCTAACAAAGGCGGCCGCTGATTGCTTTTTTATTTATTTTTCTATCCGCCTAAGATGCTTAGATTACTCATTTATTATTATCACAATAAATAGAAGCACAACGTAGAGGTTGTACACGAGGCCAATTGATTACCATTTGAGAACGTTTTATGAACTATAGAAAGTATTTAAAATTTCCAAATAATTTTCATATATTAATATATACGTAATTCCAAAATATACGTTTCGGGAAGATATTCAACTCAAATTAAAGTTAGCATATTATTACACTTATCTAAAAGTATTTAGGGATCAAGCAAGTTTCTGCTTAATAATGAAAATCAGGTTTTTTTAATTATTTTTTTAACACCTATGGATTTTTGGGTCAATTTTGTTTTCAAATTCAAATTACAAAATTGATCTTGATCCCTAGACACTTTTGATGTGTGTATTTTGCAGAAGCGAGCGATTGCATCACAATATATTTTCAGTTATATACTTTTGTGCGTCTGCATAATGAATTGTATAATAAACGGAGTAACGTAGATAATTTTACTACTAGACATAAAAGGAAGCTTGTGTAACCGAAATTTAGACTTCAGAGGGATCTCGGTTCTTTTGTGGGGCAAGGTATTCTGTACTATAATAAGATTCCAAAACCTGTTTAGATCTTTCTAAGGTTACGTTACTAAAGAGAGTATATTACTCTGTTAAGATTACATTTTTTTGTTTTATAAATCGCGTATATTTACTTTCCTAAACAAACCTATGGCTCTTTACAGGTCTTACGGTCGCATATCAGACGAATTAACTTGTCCTGTAAATAATAGAATCTCGGTACTAGTAAAGAACTCAAAACGGTTTGTTTGAAAAAACAAATAAACGCGATTTAGGTCTGAAAAAAAAAATAGTTTTATTTTCAATCTGTAATAATAGCGAAAAACCTAACAGCTAACATTTTTTTTTATTAATTAAGTAAGTAAGTACTTTAGTCGAAAACAAAGAAAATGTAGAAAAGAAAAAAACATTTAATTACTGACTAAAAGCGAATAATTTATGTAAGTAGACTAAGTAAAATTAATTTTTAAATTAGTTGCATATTTTAAATAAAAAAATAATAAAAAGTACGTGGCGGGTTAGGCGTGATCTAGGCCAATTAGATGTAATATAATTTAAAGCAAAAAATACATGCATAAATAAATGTTTGCAAGTTACGGGTAGAGAAACAATTAACATGGATAATATTCAAGTACTTTTTTCTGATCTGAAGAAATCGAATCTTTCAATAAACTACTTTCCTTGGCTTGGCATTTTGGGGTTAGTGTTAGTGTCACTGTAAAACGACGAAATGCAGAATGAAAAAAAAAATGCAGAATGAGAAATACTGGGGTGGAATGGGATAACATTTATGAAAGAATGGGTCAGGAAAATGGAAGATGTGTGTGTGGATATTGTAACACGATGTTATTACATATTAACCTATACATATATTTTTAATTGTGTTCGAAATATTTTCGCGAGGACTTTGTATTGTTGGCATTTAGACCCAAAATTTTCCTTCGTCACGCATCGTCTATAATTTACATCTAAAAACTTTATGCTTGTTGGTACAGATAATAGATGTTGCATTGTCTATATTTTAAGACAACAATTCAAATGTTACATATGGTCTATAGTTACTTTGTAGAAAATTTGATTGCCTCAGGAAGATAATGCTACCAAGAAAATAGTCTTCATTTAAATACAAGGTTGAGAAGCTTACTGAGGGCTAAAACAACTATGACAGAGCAAAAAGAAAATGTTTGAATTCCTTTGCCAGGGCGTAGGGCAGGTACGGCAGGTACTATTGTATTAATACGATAAGGCATTATAAATAAACAAGTAAAAAAATCTGCGTGGCATGGAACGCATGCATGTTGAGCGCATGCGAAATGGACGTTCCGCTTTTCATTTGCAATTGGTTTGCAAAAACAAAAATGTACAGGTCTAATCTCTCACTGTGTCTACATTTCAAAGGGGGAGTTTATACGGTCGATTTAAAATGCGGTGTGTTATGGTTGAGATAAAATAAAATAAAACGAATTGCATATAGCTGCACTTAAAGAACTTCGCTAAATGAAACTTGGGAGTTGATATCATCTTTAAATGCCATTGGTGTATTGATATATTATGCAGTGTACGCCTGTAATTTTTCCTTGCAATGCATTGAATAATTTTTATGTCTTGTAATGTAGATCCACGGGTTTTTTTTGGGATGTAACTTTTAAAACCTACTTATCTACTGTAAAGTCGGGACAGTGACGAAATAATCTAGTCTGTAAATTGACTTTGTTCAAAAATTATTACAGGAGCTGTTGAACACTTTTAAAAGCGACTAGTTAGGTACCTATTTATTTAATTGTTGCTTAGATCACCTACAACCTACAACCTACAGCTCCTACTCACTTTACAAGCTTAGCACAATTTTCCACCAGAGCGAAAAATTATATCAAATGGAAGGTACATTACAAAGCGTCTTTGTTGCGGTGAAAGTACGAACATAGTATGAAGTTATGCAAGTACTGCCTATTATTTGTTCGCTTAATTGCGAACATTCACATTGCTTGTCGGGTCAAAACCTAAGGGCAAGAATTATGAGTTGGTTTATTAGGAAATAAATGTTTATGACCTAAAGCTAAATATCTTTTCGTACCTTCAACAAGAGGTATCAACTTATTTTAAAAGAACAGCGTTCTCTTTTATTAGATGCTAAAGGTATAAAAAACAATTGTTTCTTTTTTTTATGGATAATTTGGCTCGCCGTTGTCACATGTTGACGAAATAAAAATAAAAGTGGAAAAAAAATACGGTACCTATCTATTTCTTTACTGCCAAGTGAAGTCGTTAGAAAGGATT